CTACAGATGAAAAAGGCACTGTGTGGAGCACATGTCCATCTGTCCATTGTAATTATAATGAGTGAAACTCATTTTGAGCAACCCAGTCATCCAGAAAAAATTTGAATGCAGGGGGTCAAAACAGGCAGGAGTCTGGCACCCAGTAAGCTTGCATCAGGATTTTGAAGTGGGGCAACATCCAATGCACTGCGTACAACAACCCGGCAGACCCCTGCGGCAACCCGTCATTGCTCCTCCAAACCCGTCACCACCCTCATCAGTGACGGGCATCTCAACTTCAAGTACGTTGACCCAGTTTGACCCCAACCCAACAATCCAGCAGGTGGTCACTCTAGCACATGCCACGTACATCTGTGATGAGGCGTACAAGCAGAAGCAGGGTGCGGACACATTCCAAATATTCTTGCAGCAGCACAAAACGTTCCTAACCATATCAGCTCACTTTCTTTCCATCAAACAACACAATTTTGAGGAAGCTCTTTTTTTTTTTTGTACTCCGCACCCCTACCTCCTGAATTGTGGAAATGTGCGCACACTCTTGAATGCAGCATGAAGTTTCCTTCTATGATTGATCGATTGATCTGCAAGCTATATTTTCTGCTTTTCAGCATTCACAAGGTTCAAGCAATGTTCCCACATCCAGACCTGCTCCCCTCACTGCCCACATTCATCCAAACACATTCCATCACATCAGAATGAAGAAACAGAGAATTAAGCTGTAAATGGATATTAAAAGAAGATAAAATAATCCCAAAATGTAGAATTGCACAACTGATATAAATGCATACACTTTCTTCCCCTCCCTATAATAACAAAAAGAGAATACCAGTAATAAAAATTGCAGCATAATGCAATTATTTTACATGAGAAAAGTAATACAGTTTACTCACAAATATATTTCTTTTGAAAATAACGTATAATAATAACAATTTCCATGAACAATTACGAATTTGTGTTCAAGGTCCCAGCTAGCCAAAGTTCCATGAACACAATGCAGCAAGAATCTACTCAATACCAAATTTATTTTTTCATCAGTATGAATTACAGCATTTTCCTTATTATTTTGACAATAAACATTAGACCAGATTGTCTTCAGTAAGGAATATTTCATCCGCTCTCATCAAATTTGTTCAAGATGAGCTTCAAGAAATTATTTGTTGGAAATGGTACAATGGTGACACATTGAAAGCATTTAACTAGGAAATAAACTGATGTCAAAGATGACATATGGTGATTCACTGAAGTTTGAATTTCTTTGGAAGAAAAAAGGCTACTAAAGCAATACCAGGTTCTCCTGTTTCCAAGAATTGTTTTTACTTGACTGATATACTATTGATGAGTAAGATCTTAATAGCTTTGGGCTGTGATGTTTGTGATTCTTGAATTAAATTCATTCTTCATGCATTTTTACGTAATGTAATAGGTTGTATTTTCTTTCAATACCTCTATACAGTATATAATAGATGCAAACAATTTATTAGCTAGAAATCTAGAACGTGTTGAAACTATTAATGTTTTGGGGGAGTGCATATAAAGCTGTATAGTACTTTTGCATGCTGAAAAGCAGCAAACAAAGCTTGTATATCAACCAAAATCAATCAAACAAAATAGGCAGAAGCACTGTTTGATACTTTATGGTGTCTAAAAATAATTTGATGCTAATATGAATTGAATGAATTTACTGATGTCTTGAATTTAAGCGAAATGGCACCCAATTCAGCATATTTGCTTCAATCACAATTGTCCAAAAAGTATCTATATGCTGACTTAGAACATTAATTCAGACATTCAAAAGTTTTTCTGCCTTCTCCCAGACATGGTCTCAATTCCGCGAGTAAAATTAACCGAGGTAAATATTTTTTCTCCCACAGAAAATTTTCCGCACTGCGCATGAGAAGAAGTTCAATGTACTCCAGACTTTTACCCCATGCAAGCACGTGATTCTTCACCCTTGTTCCAGGTTTTTGTCCCAGACGCGATAACCTCATTTCCCTGAGATCCAGGTTCATTCAAACGAAAAATTTTCTAATTTAGCTGTGCGAATTTCCACCATAAAAATTTCCACTGTTATGCAACTCAAGCCGCATGATTTAAATGCAGTACTTTACACTGATTTTCTCACACGAGAGACGTGACTAAAATTAAGTGGATTATTAAATTTTCCTGGCACGTGAAGGACAGAATTTATCCCATTTGAATTAATTTTTAGAATGTCCACTTTTTATAGCAAATTTTGTCACAGGACTCGTTCCAGAATCAAGTATAGCAATCTATTCCACTAATAATCAAGTCAAGTCGTATATGCTTTAAATGCACTAATTTTTTCTGAAACTGAAAAACGATGAAGTGGATTGCTGAATTTGAGTGGTACATGTTGAACATTTATTCCATGTGAATTTATTTGTTGAAATGTACACTTTTTGCAGTGAATTATGTTAGAAGACCAATTCCAGGATTTGAAAATAACCCAGCAGCAATTTCAAGTACTGCAAATAATCGTGAGTGGATTGATACAAACCATTTTTACATTGGAAAGTTTTTTTCAATTAATTAAAAACCTCTTTATAAGATATAGAAATTGCCTTAATTTTGAATATATTATTACAGTACATAAACAAAGCCTCCCTCACATATGAAAGTGTTGAAGTTCTGTTTTAATCATCTCAAAGAAATGAAGCTGGTTTAGGAAAATTTTTCTATAATAATTTCTGCAGTTTATTTTTTCCCTTTGCCAGTTTCCCCCCCTATTGAATAACAACATGTAATGATGACAATACAGTACAGGTGGTACCTTGCAATTTGACCTCCCACAATTTTACCATCTTGCACTTTGATGGTTGAGTTTGCAGGTAGGTTGACTTGCAATTCAACCTCTGCTCTGGAATTTGACCCACTGGCCGGTTTTTTGCATTTTTGTGCTGATATTTCTCAATTTTACAAAGTGTCCCACAATTTGACTGCTTTGCAATTTGACCCCAGCCTGGTTGTAAGATATAGTCATCCCGCGCCGACCGCAAAAAGTTATTCTCGCCGCATTCCTTACAAAAAACTGCTTTTCTATTCATGAAACAACTAATTAAGGAAAAACCCACTGAGTAGGTTTTTCCCATTGCGTAATTCCTCTCGACTTCCACGATTTCGACCCCATTTTATGTACAGTTCTTCTGATCGTAGAATTTTATTTTCCGAAAAATACAGCCTAACGCCTCTGAAGTATTAAAATTAATTTTTTGTGCTTTCTGTGCATACGGATTACTTATTTTCTATCCTCTTTTAAATCATTAGCACGAGTGTTGATCATGTAAGATATAGTCGTCCCGCGCCGACCGCAAAAAGTTATTCTCGTCGCATTCCCTACGAAAAACTGCTTTTCTATTCATGAAACAACTAATTAAGGAAAAACCCACTGAGTAGGTTTTTCCCCATTGCGTAATTCCTCTCGACTTCCACGATTTCNGACCGCAAAAAGTTATTCTCGTCGCATTCCCTACGAAAAACTGCTTTTCTATTCATGAAACAACTAATTAAGGAAAAACCCACTGAGTAGGTTTTTCCCCATTGCGTAATTCCTCTCGACTTCCACGATTTCGACCCCATTTTATACACAGTTCTTCTGATCGTTTCGCAGCGAGCGGTTGTCTAAAAAAGTGTTGATTGATCTTGAGTTATCACTTTCGAAATATACTTTGCACTTCGTCTTTTGGGAGAATTACCGAATTCTCCCCTGCCGTGTTCCCCGGAGTCTACTATTTTATTTATCAGTTTTATTCTCTCATCACGTTTCTTTGTGGGTTTAGCCTACAAAATTGGTAGCAGAGCGTGGTTTTAACTGTCAAAAGTAAAAGATACAGCGATTCCACTCCCCCTTACAAAAGTACAAATAAAGTCGATTTTTTTTTGTGAAAGTGCTTTTTGTGAAGTAACAAAGTCACATTGGATTCAACATGGTTCGTCGAGGAGTCGGACGCCCAAAACGCGGAGCTCCTACTGGTATCGTGAGTACTGAACCTTTCGAAGAACACCAAGAAGAATCGCATAACGACTTACCCAATAATTCCGATACTTTACAAAATCCAGAGAATATACACCCACCCATCCAAATCGAAGAAGTGTTAGATAATACGGAAGAGACTCCTGAACCCACTCCCCAATTTGTTGCTAACAATACACAAGATGAAATGAGTTCACTCCCAAGGCTATCTAAAATCAAACAACTTATCATATCCATTCTACTGCGCATAGCTCAAATCATTAAAATGGCTGATAAACTTACTCTCAATCCAATGTCTGAAACGAAAAGGCAAGAATTTGGAAAAATACACAAGTCCGTTACCGAACATCTCACTCTCTTAGCAACAGCTGAAAAAGACAATATTGATCATGAAAATAGAGTAAAATTGAGTTTACTTCAAGACGAAATGACCAATATTGTCATCACCCCACCAGATGAATTGCTTGATCTCTGGAGTGAAATTCGCCCTACCGCAAATTCTATTCTTGGAATAAGACTTCCCTCAGTTACTATGAATCCTGCTTGTGTTACCACTCAAGCCCCGTCCGTCATTGAAACTCACTCAAGTAACACAAATCCAGTACTATTCTCGAGACAATTGTTTCAACATAATGTCACGCAACTATCATCTTCTCACAAAGAGAGTTCATCCCATAGCACTACTAAACTAAATAAATTAAGATTCCTTGGAATAAGTGACGAGGACTCTAAAAACTCTCTGAAGGAAGAATTAAAAAACTACGGTACGGGAAGTCCTTTGGATATTGGCAATGCAGGAGTATCATCTTTTTCGAAGAGCTATTCAGACTCTCTAGTATCGTTCACTAAATTTAGTGGCAATCTTGATGAAGAACAAACGTTTGAAAGAGTATGGACACAGTTTAGGGAAATACATGAAGCGCCTCGCGAACAAATAAAACCTAGAGACAGAATAAATCTCTTCTTAATGCACTTTGAAGGTAAAGCTAAAAAAACCTGCATACAGTATCAAGGTAGAAATACCGATAAGGATTACACAGGCATGCTTCAAACAATGTTCGACAAATACGGCAATGTTAATAAGTTAAAAAATCAACTTATTAAGGAAATAGAACAACTACCGTACCCAAACGGAACTTTTGAAGAAGCCGCAGCCTACATGGAAGAAGTTCTAGAACAAGCACTTTGCTTAACAAATTTAGGAATGAAAAAGAAGGAAATGCATACTAGAATTTGGGTATCGGTTATAGATCACTTGAAAAACGGCACCTTTCTCGATACTGTAGCTAATGCGATCAAAGATAATATCTCAGAAGAAACATTGGAAGAATGGGAAGAACTACCTGAAAATCGGTATCGA